AGGTGAAACCTCATCCAGAATTAATTTTCTAAGGACCTAATAATGATTATGCTCAGGATTTCTAAGTCAGATTGGTCAGGGTGGAATTATTCCCCGGTGCAAACCAAAGAACAGTTTCTAGGTGCCTAATTCCTACCCCCTTATAAGTTTGCTTAGCCAGCCGTCCTGAAGCAAAGGGTGCCTTAGCTTCATGAGATCTCTGGGAAATGCCCCAAGGTTTAAAGAGGCCCACAAGCCTCTTCTACAGGTGGACTATGAGACCCACTCACCATCAGCCCTATGCATGATGGCTGAGCCACACATTCCCTCCTTCACGCAATGCTGTGTTGGGGCAAAGGTAGAGCAGAGCATGGGAACTAGTCCTGTGTCGTAAGAAGCAAAGATCCCTTTCTGTGGAGATTCTAGCAAGGTATCTATCCAAGTAGTCAGGAAATGTTTCTACCCTCTTCCAGAGAAGAAAGAACACATGAACTCAGAGAACACTAAGGTCGACCCTAAGTAGCCAAACCTCACTAGACCTCACACTGGACTGCATACGTCATCAATTCAAGGATGGGTCAAGGAGTCGAAGCCTACACTTCTGGGTTTAAACAATCGAGTCTGCAGGACAAATAGGACTGATAAGTAGGTGGGAAGAGGTAATACTACATTCTGCCTCCAAATGCCTTGGAAACCCAAAAAGCCATTAGTAGGCACATCTCACACTTTGATTTTCTATTTCCGAGTCATTTTCTGTCTCTAACCTAAATGTCCGTCCCTAAATGACCACCATCACAACTGCACCAGTCCCCAGAATGCAATGCAGCTTGGGAAATAAGCCAAGTCTTCAACTGAAAAGCTATCAGAGAGATTTTGGCTGGCACAATCAATCTCCCGACAAGCATTTATTAAGTGCCTATTATAAGCCAGGCGTGTGCTTGACACTGGGAGGACAAAGAAAAAAAATTAAGTAGTCGTTGCCTTTAAGGAGTTTACATTCTGTTTCAGACAATTTCCACATTGGGGCTCCATTTGGTGACACATTGAGCGCTCCACGCCCTCCATGTAGTCCCATTTTTCAATACCACGGATCCATCCCTGACTTCATCTAGTCTTCTGACCTTGACTCATAGCTCCCCATAGTAGGAAGGCTTCCCTGACTTTACAGAAAGAATATCTGAGGGAACACATAGAAACTAGGAATATAAGATAGATACCCAGTCCAATATGCAGAGGGAAGTGTCTCAAGATGTGAGGAGGTAGGAGGAAGGTGGTTAGATCTCCCTTCATGTTTCCTAGGGACCCTACCACACAGCTGGGACCTCGCTCCCCCTTGGCTCTGACTGCCTCACTCAACTCACCAGGGGTCACAAATGAGGCATTTAGAGTGAGAAGGAACTTTAGGGCTCATCAAGTGACAGAAGAAGAAACAATGGCCTCTAGAGATTAAGTCACTTGTTCAAGGCTTCGTAGGTAATAAGAAAATAGCAATCTATCAAATCCAACATCATCTGATACTAAACCCAGAGTTGTTTCCACTATACTGAATCCTCCTTTAAAAAGAAAACCTGGACTGCAGTGTGTGTGTTGACATCCTGTAACTGACTAACCACATGATGAAGATGAAGCTGTTGGGCTGTGCCTCAGTTTCTCTTGGAGGATCCAAATGGCTCCTCTGTTTGCAGCATTCGGAAAAGGGAGGGGAGCCTCTTAGAATCCCACTATTCTAAAGCCAGGATTCCAGATCAGGTCTTGCAGCCAGCCCAGCATCAACGCCCTAAGAAGCAAAGAGCGACCCCTTCTACAAACAAGCCCTCCGGGAGCAAGAGTCTAAGTCAGACTCAGGAGGCAGTCATGCCATACCTGGCCATGAACTTGGCAGGTACGATGTTATTTAGGAACTGAACCCTAGTCCCCCCAGAGACAGAAGGGATACAGGGGAAGGACGACTTGGAAGTATTGCAGGAAATGTCTATATGTTTATTCTGACAACATATTTAAAGTAAAAATTCCTTTGTAAAAGCCAAAAAGAAAAAAAAAACCTGGAAAGGAAAATACTGACCCTGAGTCAGAGGGCCTACATTCAAACATCACCTCTGACCCTTGCTACCTGTGTGACTTTGCGTAACTAGAAGGCCTCAGAGGTCCTTTCCAACTTTCGATCTATGATCCAATGATCTCCCAGAGCCTGGACCCACTCTCCACGGAAGAAAGCCTAGTCAAAGCCACAGGCGACCTCGTGGCTATGTCTTAGGCAGGGACAAATGGAACATAAGCCCAAGCAGGGAGAGAAACAGCACAGCACAACTCAAGGAATAAGCAGAAGCCTAGGGTCCTAGTCCCAACGCCCTTCACTGTTGTGGGCTTCAACTTCCCAGACTGCAAAGAGGGAAAGAGCAAAAGCGGGAATGGCCCACAAGGTGCTTTGTAGATGGGAGATGCCAGTCAGCAACACATGCAAAAGACCAATGCAAAAAGTGACTTACTTTCTAAAGTCAAGTCTGAAAGGTCCAAAAGAGAGAATATCTGCGGCCATTTTGCTTATGGTTGTTAGGCCCCCTAGCTTCCCCAAAGGCACTAGTGGCAGGAGAAAGCCTAGTGTTAGAAATGAGAAGAAGGGAAGGAAGAGAGAAATACTAGGGGAAATTTTCAAAGAGAAAAGAAATAACATTAGGGCCTGGCTTTTACGTAATGTTGGAGCTGAGAAAACAGGTTGGAAAGTCAGAATTTAAAGTCACTCCAAAGCCACTGGTGGGGCGAGGAGGATCAGTTAGGGTCCATCCATTGAACACTCAGTATTAGCTTCCCTGGAAGGTTGTACTCCAGTTCTCCTTCCTCCCCCCCACCCCCCAGCTGAGATGGCCAGGGCCTTGGGAGGTCAGCAACCCAGACTGAGATTGAATAGTGAGCGCCTCTGGCTCAGAGCCTAAGTAGGGCTGGGAAGTTGACTCTGTGCTCTTAAAGGGGCCACTCTAAACTCCTGGGTCACCTTTTCCTGTTTAGTAGCCAGAGCTGGGGGACTGCAATTGGGGACTGGAAGAACTTTAGTTGCAGCCAAGCCCTGGGAAGAAAGGATTCCCTACTACCTTTTCTTAGGTGTGTTTGTAGGGGGAAATCTCCCTATGTGAAAATGTGCTAATGTAGCACCAAGGAGTCAGACAACTGGGCAAAAGCAGAGCCGCCAGGAGCGCAAGCCAGGCTCTAGGAAGGGGTGGGAGGCCTTCACCCCACATTCAGATCCCACACCAGACTAGCTAAACAGGAATTGCCCTGGAGAAATAACTGACCAGACAGCTCCCACCACTGGAGACCAAGGACAGACTACAAGAGAATCTCTTCCAGCCAGAGGAGGGGAGCCAGCATGTTGCCTAGCTCAGCTCCCTCCAGTTCTAAAAATGTGACTGCAGAGAAGGAACAGTTCTGAACAGCTCCTCCCAAGCCAAACCGCTATGTAAGATCTAGTAATGGAGATAGTAGGTTAGGGGATAGGGGTAAGGATGGCAAGGGAGGCCAGGAGAGAATTAGGCCAAATTGGAACTAGGTCAAGGGCCCAGGGTGTGAGCCAAAAGGGAAGCTCTTGGGGCCAAGGGATAGAGCAACTTGGGATCCCTGGGGTAGAAACAAGGGGATGGGGATGCTGGGTCAGGGTCAGAGCCATGATTTCCAAACCACCTTTGGTGATATAATCCTTCCCCTTCCCCTAGAGATTACTCTTGCTACCTGATACTATATGACTCCTTCTGTCCTTACACAACCCACCTACTGCTACCATGAGTAAAGACCCAGCAAGAGAACCAGAAAGCATTCATGGGCCCACAGTGGCAACCCCATTTTTTGTCTCATTTTCTCCCCTTGCCCCAGATTCTAATCAGAACTAAACCTCACAGGCCTATCTATGCCTGGGAAAGTTCTGCTGCCAAGTGGACACAATAAGGATATTCCAAGATCCAGCTACTGTTCAGCTCTGACACCAAAGTGGGGATTAGAGACCCTACCCCTAGTCAGTCATTCCCTCTGAGACCTCTGAAATTACTTATTTAATCTTGTGTCCCAACACGAATTATCCTTTAGTATGGGGGCCAGTGGAAAACACACAGCCACCACTGACTTAATGTAGACCAGCTAGGATTGTGCACCTCAAAGACCGGTTAATTCGATTTCCAAGTGACTTGAATTCACACTTGGCATTGTATCCTCTAATATAGAATGAGCCTGAGATACCTCTCCCTGCCTGGGCAACACTCCAAAATGTTGCCAGGGGAGGAAGGGTTAAGTGTTCTGGCTGAGAGGACCGACTCAGAAAGGCCCAGCACAGCGGGGCAGCCCAGGGCCCTCCACAGCTCCTCCTGCACGAGCCAGCCGGCCGCCGCCTTTGTTGACTAACTCTGCCACATGCTTAGCTGACACGCGATGCTCCACTGCGGCGGTGCCAGGGCTGGGCTGCCACCGGGCACCCCAAGCCCCAGGCCAGGAGGGATTCTCAGAGGTACTATTTTCTCCTGAGTCCCTGGCCCTGGTTCCCAGACAGAGACATCAGATCAGGCGGCCTCCCCAGCTGGAAAGTGTCAAATTACAACCGGTTCCACAGCTTCCCCCTCCCATGCTGGAGCCCCACTGCCTGGGTTAACCTTCCCTCTGCTGCACTGAATGCATGAGCAGGCGGTGGGGATGGAACATCCACTCCAAGGCACAGGGGTGACAGTGCTGGGGCAAGGAGATGGGAAGGTGGGGATGGTGAACAAGCTGCTGCCCAGCCCTTTCATAGCTCCCATCTCACTATAACCCTCCTGTCTCCCCATCAAGAGGAGACTCTTTCTAACTTTCACCTCTAGGGTTCAAGACGCTCCCCCAAACTGGGCCCAACTATTCCTCAGAAACCGTGGCAAGTCAAAGAAGAGCCCGAGACTCCAACTGAAGGATGCCTCACGTCTGGATGAGGATTTCTAATGCGAGAAAGGCAGCATAGGGTTCTTACAGTCCTGGCACCCGTTTAAGCTCAGTGTTGATTACCTGATACCTACCCGCTGCATGTGGAGTCTGTGGAACTGGTCTGCTATGCATTGAAGCTTTCGGGCAATCTGCACCTCAGTTCGATGTTCCCACTGCTCTTGAGGGGGCTCCTCTCCAAGCCTCAGGCTCACAGGAAAATTGGCTGGGAGGGGAAGTCGGTATCCAGCATTGCCTGCAAAGATGGCAGGAGGGAGAAGGTAGACACGAGCCAGCATTTTACACAATGACCAGAGTCCTTCCTAGAGGCTTCATCCACAAATGCCTAGGAAGGTCCACTGGTAGGCATCAGTTCCAAGTGCAAATCTGGAAGGATCTCATTGGCTATGTGGTCCAACTCTCTCATTTTACAGATGGGGAAACTGTTGCTCAAAAAAGTTAAATGATTTGCCCAAGGTCACATGGGAAGTTAGCACCAGAGATCATATTTTATCTCAGATCCTTTGAGTCTTAAGCCAGTGTTCTTTCCACTGGACATGTTAGAGCCTTGATCAAAAATCAAAGAGTACAAATTTCAACTTTGGCATTACTCCATAGTAGACATAGTCTCTCATTTATTTACCCAAGTTGATTAACTTAGAATTTATGCAAGGAGAATAGATTTCATTTTTTAACCTCCCCCCCAAAAAAGAGCCTACTAAGTGCTATGTTGTATGGGGGGGGAGAAATAAGGGAAATAAAACTCAGTACCTGAGTACACAAATAACTACAGTACAGACTAGAACATGATAGGAGTACAAGAAAGATAAAAACAGTACTTTAGGAGTTGAGAAGAGAAAAATGATCACACATGGTTGGGAGGTAGAAGAGAAAGAAAGAGAAAGAGAGGAGGAGGAGGAGGAGGAAGAGAAGAAGAAGAAGGAGAAGAAGAAAAAGAAGAAGGAGAAGAAGGAGAAGGAGGAGGAGGAGGAGGTAAAGCTTACTATACAGGTGGTATCTGAGCTAAGCCTTAAAGGATGGAGAAGAAGAATAAGGTAGGGTATTCCAGGTATATGAAGCACTGTGAGCAAAGACAGTGAAGCAGGAAAGTATAAAGAGTCCAATCAGGGCAGAACACAGATTAAGGGATGGAATGGGGCATAAAATTAGGCTAGAAGGTCAGAAAGGTCCATTCAAAAGAGCAGCCTGGTAGCAAATCTGAGAGTTATTTTTATGGCTGTATATTACCATAGTTAAGTACTCATTCCCCTCCAGGGTGAAGCCCCTCTCTAGAAGGAATTTTTAAGCTTTCCAGGGTTTTCGGTTCCAATAGACTAAGAGACTGAGGAAAGGGCCAAAAGGTGGAGCTGCAGAGGATGATACACCCTGGAACCTCCCCAGCACGCTTCAGGCAATACCGCCAAGACCAAGAAGAGAGCGCCTTAGGCCACAGGAAAAACAAAGTCTTGCAGGCAGCCTCAGCTGGATGCCCTCTGAATGTAGGGACTGTGGGCATCCCTTAAATCAGACACTCCCTACTCCCTCCTCTCCTTTTCTAATTACTCAAGCCAACTCTGTACAGAATTAATCTGCCTTATCACTGTAAGACAGTTCCTTCTAGAAAGAAATGCAGTCACCATAGGTCCTCTGCCTCATCCTATACACATAAGATAACTTCAGAACCTGGTTTCCCTCTCATCTCTTTAAACTAAAAAACGGGCTTAATGCCCAACCTCACTCCTTATGCCTGCCCCTCATGCCCCTTAAATTTAGGTAATGGAAATGGGATCTGCCCAAATTTAAGCCACCCTGTTGCTGAGGACCAGCCTCTCTCTCGGCATGAAGCCAAACCCAGCCAGGACTTGGCGATTTTCTCCTGCTCTCCTTCCAACCACAAGTAGTCTTCAATAAAAGCTGGGAGCCAAGCTTGGCCTCTAGGAACATTCTCTTCCAGAGGGAACTACAATGTAGCAACAGACTAAATGATAAGCCCGGGGAGAGTAGGGAAGCACTTCTACGTCTTCCCCACCACCACCCTTTCCTTACCACCACAGGTCACTGATAACTAGGCAGGGGCTTGGTCCTAGCTCACCTCCGGGACAGAACATCAACACAAAACCAAGAAGGCTTGGCCAGTCCTTTTCTACCCCCAAAGGTCCCTCCTGGGTGTGTGGAGGCAGGGAGAGACACAGCTAGATCTAAGACTGGGTTGTCCCCACTCTACAAAGCAAAAAAAGCCTGCCATACCCACTGAGCACAGTAACAGATAATCAGAGCCAAAAGGCACTTTAGAATACAGAAAAAAAAAAATGTTAGTGCTGGAAAAGAACTTAAAAATCACCGACCACAATCCCCTCTTGCACCAGAATAGTGGTATTCTTGAAATAGTGAGAGAATACCTGCTCCAAATTCCCATAGCACTGAACCACAGTGCCTTACATATAGTAGGTGCTCAGTAGTTATTTGTTGACCGGATAAATGAATGGTAAATGATGAGCAAGTCAATCTAGCTTTATGAGGACTGGCCACTGATCCAGCAAGAAGCAGAAAGAAATGAGGGCTCAGAAGGGGGAGAAGAGAGGACACAATATCCCTCTTGCCCCCTGCCATACCTTTATTGGAAGGGATATTTTCCCCTCTACCCTGAACTCAGAAGAGAAGGAATCCAGAGGGAAGAGACACTCAAACTCACCATAAAAGAGTCGGTGGGGTTCTTCAGTCACTCCACAAGGCAGCATGACACCCTGGCTTGGGGATGCCGGACTGAGGGTCTGAGTGGCCTTGTCTTCCTGGCCAACTGACCGAAGCCCTGGGCCGCAGCAGTGGGTGAGAGGGAAAAGCTGCAGCCCATCTAGCATATAGTCGGGCTGGCTCTGGGCAAACAGAGCAGCCGAGGTCAGGCCCCCTGGCTGCGCACCAGGCTCTGAATCCTCCGGGTGGAACACATCGTCCTCCAGCTCTTCGACATAATGAGGAGGCTCCATCTCTCCTGCAAAAGAAAGGCAGTCAAGTCTGGAGGGCCACTCCCCACCCCACCCCCCCTTGAAAGACTCATGCCCCTGCTCTCCATGTTCCTCCTAGCCAATGGAAGATAAGGTTAGGGACTGCTGGCATACAGCCTTGGCACAGGGGACCTATAAATGAAGGCCAAAAAAAAATCCCCCCAAAACTACCTGGGCAAAACCCAACACACCTGGCCCCTCTACCAGGCTGCCCACAGTCTCCTCTACCCTTGGCTTCTTTTCCTGAACAGGCCTGTCTGTGGAGATCAGACTATGAGTGTTCTTGGCAAGGGCTATTTTGGCTGCTATGAGACTTACTTACAGAGTCTGGGTGCTGCTATGGGGTATTTAGGAAATGGTAAACAATGAAAGCAGTGGGGGGAAAAGAGGCACCCAAGTCATTCACCTGCTCCAGGAGTGCAAGGTCACCCAAGCAGGCTCCAGACACAGTGTTCTCTACAAGTAAAAAAGCAGCATAATCCCCACCCTAGGGAGCTCACTACCACACTCAGGCAGAGCTGAACTCCTGGCTAAGCAACAACTACAACAAAAGCCAACAATAACTTTGTAGCCTTGCTTCCAGCTCCAGAACCTGCTCAAGTCCCTCCCAGCTGCCTAACTTTCCCCTATGCCCCACCCCCTCTTGCTCAACACCCACCAATAGACACTGGAGAGTGGTTTGGTGGTGGTGAGATTCCTGGGAGAGCCCAAGTCACAACAAGATGCTCTGAATCTGGAGAGTCACTGAACTGAGCTATCTGCTCTCCAGAAGTCCACTGGGAGGGTGAGCTTATCACTTAGAAGCCTTCAGAACCTGCTCTTTGCAAAGTCCCAAACCCCTACCCCATGCCTGTCCCTGGTTGAACCTGGGAGCTGTGTATCTTGTCTCCTAGGAGGAAGTAAAACTCAGCCTCATGTCACTGGCATCACTCCTCCTTCCCCTACCTATACCATTCGGGTAACTAAGAAGCACCTCTTGCTTTAACAGAGCTTAGAGAAGACTAAGTCCTGGGGCGACCCACTCCCCAGCTCCCACAGTTTAAAACTCAGTACTACACACTTGTACCATGTATTCAGTGACTCCAATGTCACAGTGTGTCTTAGCTTTGCTAGCGCCCCAAAGCAGAAGTCACCTACACTCTCCAATGCCCTTTCTTCAACTGAGTGCCATGGCATAAAGCTTGTCAAAGACAGCATCAAAAACAGAACTCGGGAATCCTGTATCCCAGCTTATCTCTTGCCTTCAAACAATCCAAACTGAACTGTGTTTTTCTGACGCATCCAAATAGATCACACCTAAATTTGGAGAGCTTGGGTATCAAATACTTCTACCTTCTTCAAATACATCACTCCCCTCTCCCAGATACCTGAGTTGTTAATGAAAAGGGCCAAAGGACACATATAGATGACGATGCTCTCTCTCTCCCCCCCCCCCCCACACACACAGAGCTATGTACCAGGATGCAAACTTTCTAACTGAACTGACCTCAGGCTGCTCTACCAGAGTTATGTAGTGGTGGTTACCTGTTGCCCAGAAAAATGACAGCCTTTAGCTGATAACAGTAACCCCAAAGAGGGTTCCCTTTAAAGCTGCTGGGATCCCACAAACAGAGGCAAAAGACAGAGACTCTTTTTCTCCTCTGAAGCTTGTCAGCTTTTACCCTCCAGGCAAAGCCCTAGTTCTAAATTGCCTGGGTTGGGTGAGAGGGGGAGGTGTAGCCCGAGTGGGCTGGATCAGCAATCCCCAGGAGATCCTTTCCATTCTCTACTATAGGAAGTGCACAGACCGCCCCCCCCCCACCTGATCTGACTTTCCCCAGTGATTCAGCTCCAGACTCCTCTGCCAGTACAGGCTAGTCCAGAAAAGTTGTGTTACACTGACTGGGGGAGGGGTGGAAGATGAGGCAAGTGGTCCCTGAAAACCCTTGGGATAAATGATGGAAGAGATCCCCACAGAGCTGAGGATGCGGGACACTGAGCCAGAGGGCTCGGTTTCCTCAGGAAGACACTGCCAGGTAAGACATTACTCCAAAGTGAAATCCAAGCCCTTCTCGACCCGCCCAAACCTTTTCCAACTGTGACAGTGGCTTCCAAAAGTTGGGCTTGGCCCCAGGGGGCACAGACAGAAACTAGGCAGCCGGAGTTTCTGGCGCTGCCAGAAACCAGGGGTCATATGTATACTACAGACCTGGGTCCACAGTACAAGATAACTCCAGGAAAGAGCCTCAGCTCTAGAACTAAGATGCCAGGGCTCAGAGCCAAAGCCCAGTGATGAGCGCTTGGGGCTCAGTGCCCAGACTGAGATGGGAAGGAAGTAAAGGAAGCCAAAATGTAAAGGAGTAGTCAGACCCCTCGGAAGGCGGTACACCCCAAAACTCTTCACCACCTTCCCTACTTTGGAGTAGGACTCTAAAAAAGAGCTAGGGTACCCCACACACCCCCAAAGTCCCACAGGCACCGGCACCCCCAAGCTTCTTTGGTCATTGCAACCTGAGCCCCTTTTCTGCCAGCGACCTCCCTGGAGCAGAGTGCACCCCAAGCTCCTTCCTGGTACCCCCACGCTCACAAATCACCGGAGTGCAAGGCAGCTCACCTCCTCTCCCAGGTCAGCCCTTTAACTCCTCCTCCCTCCTCCCTGCACTGCCCCCAAGTAGTGGCCACCACTCCAAGCCTTCCCTGCCTCGGGGCACGGATCCCCAAGGGTCCACTCTGCCCCCCACACGGGGCACTCACTGCAGCCCGCTCCTCGCCACGTGGCGCCGTCTGCCCCCCACGGGGCGCTGCACCCCGCTCGGCCAGTCAGCCCCCCATCCCCGGGGGCTTACCTGGCAAAGGAGCGCAGACAGCAGGCGCGCGCGCAGGGAAGCCAACCTCTGCCGCCGCCCGCGCGGTATTGTTTCCAAAATACCCCCGCTCTCTGGCATCCCGCAAACAGCTGACGAAGCCCCGCCCCTCGACGACGACCTGACCAATGGCGAGCGAAGCTCCGAGTCCAGGGCTGGGCAGCAGGCAGGGACAGTCGCGAATTGTGAACCTTCCAGGAGATGCGCGGCAAGGGGGCAGGGCAAAATTCTGAACCGCCAAAAAAGCGAAGGGTAGGCTCCCCGGCCTCCGCGCCGGCTATGCCACCCCTTCTTTTGGAATCCAGAAAACAGAAAGTAGGCCCCAAAAGTGTTCCTTTCAGACCCAGGGTTTTTCGTGATCGGACTAAATAATTACCGGGGGGGAGGGGAAGATATCCTCAATTTGCATCCCCTACAGTAGCGAATGGGATCACAGCTTCCTGTTGACAAGTGATGTGGATCCTCATGGCTCTGTGCCCCCAATGACCCTATGCTATCATGTCTTCCTGTCGGAACACAGCGTCTACACCCATGCCAAGGGCTGTGACTTTACAATCTAAAAGCGTCATCAAGTGGAGAACCTTATCAGTCCACCTAGCAGTTTTAAGTTACCACCCAAGTTTCACATTCTGGACTCCAAAGCAAAAAAGAAGAAAGAAGGAAGAAAAAGAAGGGGAAGGAGAAGGAGAAGGAGAGGGAGGAGGAGGAGGAAGAGGAAGGAGAAGAAGAGGAGGAAGGAGAAGAGGAGGAAGAAGGCAAGGAAGAAGGCAAAGAAGAAGGCAAAGAGGAAGAAGAAGGTGAAGAAAAAGACGAAGAAGTCACTGATGTCTTAGTTATGAATTGTGGTACTTTGACTACACATGGCAAGCTGCAAAATAAACATCTCCACGAGAAAGTTCCTCTCCATTATTCAGGGGTTGCTTGGACTGTATGCCTACCTTCAGGGCAAGTGAAGTTATAGTGTGTAAATGTCACATTTCCATGGGGCACTGGGAAGGGTTGTTGACTATTCATCTGGTGAAGACATCTGACTTTTTTTTTTTTCCGGTGAGGCAATCAGGGTTAAGTGACTTGCCCAGGTCACACAGCTAGTATGTGTCACGTGTCTAAGGCCGGATTTGAACTCAGTTCCTCCTGACTCCAGGGCCGGTGCTGTATTCACAACATCTGACTTCTTAATCCATGGGTTGCAAATTTAGCCAGGCTATGAGTTTGCTTGCTCTAGCTGGTCCTGAAGTGCATGGTAAATATTTCCCCTGGATGGGGATGTGATGGTGTGGTTAAACATTTCACTTACTTCATTTTTGTCCCAAATTCATCCATTTCCCTGCCCTTGCCCGTCCTTTGGAGGAATCTTGTTGTTCCTGGGAACTCTCCCTCCCATCTTGCCTGGAATTCCTGCCTTCACTGATGAATGATGGCTCACCAGCTCCCCTCACTCTGAGAGAAGTTTCCACCTAGAGTTCCATCAAAGTTTGTAATATCACACATAGCTGCCATTCCCAGCTGTAGTCATGGAAAGAGCACAGGATTTGGATTTGGGGGATGTGGGTTCGAATCCTGACTCTAATACAGTGTCGTCACCGCAGGTAGGTCAACCAGAGCTTTGCCACAAGTTAGCAAAATGAAGGAGTTGGACAAGATGTCCACCTCTAAGTCGATGACCCTGTGAAGTGGAGTCTACAATTCCTTTTTTACCCTTTACCAATCTAGTATGGTATGATGGGAAGAACACTGGTAATGAAGTAAGAGGACCCTGGGTTTAGATCCTTCCTTTAATGCTTGTTCACTGTGTGACCTTGGGCAAATACCTAACCTTCCTGAGCCTCTGTTTCCTTAACTGTAAAATGAGAGGTTTGGATTAGATGACCCTTACTAGATGTCTGAACCTGTGATCTGCCCCACCCTGGTGGGAAGAGGTATCTCTCTAATAGAGGCAACAATTCAATTCCAAAAACTGAGACCCGATTTGGTAGATTAGGAGGGATTTTGATCTTTCAGGTGGAAAGAGGATATCCACAAAAGGTAAGGTAGAGGCAAAAGGAGGTTGAAGAAAATGACCAAGACATCCACCCTGTCCTTCCTAAGGGCTGATATCCATCCTGGCAATAATAACAACTCATACGTATTCATTTTCCAAATGAATTCCAAATTTCACAATAAAGAAGTAAAATGGGTGACACAAGTATGATTGGTCCCATTTTAAGAATGAAGAAACTGAGACTCAAAGAGCATGATGTGCCACAGACAAAGTTCTATTACTTTTATTCAATTTAATTCCACAAGCACTTACTATGTACCTTCTACATACCAGACATGGAATAAGTGCTGAGGATAAAAAGACAAAAACAAGATACAGAGGCAACATTCGGTAGTGGATAGAGATTCAACCTTGGAGTTAGAAAGACCTAGATTCAAATTTTACCGGTGAAACCTGCTAACTGTGTGACCCTGGGCAAGTCATTTAACTTCTCCCTACCTCAGGTAGCTGACCTTTTGTAAAATCTGTTGGACCATACTTTGTAAGAGGTTCTCAGAAGGTGTGGAAAGATGATGATCTGAGGTCAGGGCCAACTCTGAGGAGAAAAGAAAAGTCCAGGGAGGGGTGTGCACAACCACTGAGAGGGTAGGAGGGCAGGCAAGCCCCCAGAATGCCATAAGGCTGGGCACTCTTCTTCACTCTCAGAAAGGGGTGTTGTTGTTCGGTTGTTTTTAATCGTGTCCAACTCTTCGTAACCCTATTTGGGGTTTTCTTGGCAAAGATACTGGAGTGAGGGGCAGCTAGGTGGCACAATGGATAGAGCACCAGCCCTAGAGTCAGGAGGACCTGAGTTCAAATCTGGTCTCAGAAACATAACATTTACTAGCTGTGTGACCCTGGGCAAGTCACTTAACCCCAATTGCCTAAAAAAAAAAAAAAACAAAGATACTGGGATGGTTTGCCATTTTCTTCTCCAACTCATTTTACAGATGAAGAAACTGAGGCAAACAGGGTTAAGTGACTTGCCTATGGTCACACAGCTAGTAGGTGTCAGAGGCCAAATTTGAATTCAGGTCTTCCTGACTCCAGGTCTGGCACTCTATCCATGGCGCCACCTAGCTGCCCTCTAAAAAGGGGTACAATTACAGTTATATGCTCCCCTCTCAGTATTGCATCTAGAGGTGCAATTTTAGGGGTTCAAAACAAAAGCCACTTCCCTGATCACCATAGCTTAGCTATTTTAACTCCTTCCTACCAAATGCTAGTTATATAAAAGGCCATCATAAATAAAGAGTAAGAAGTAAATAAGCAGACAGGAAACAGAAATCAGAGAAATTATGTACACTAAAATATACCAGAAAATACACAAGAGTGAATGAACTCTTTACTAGGAATAAATGAAATCTCAGGGCAAATCAAGACAGAGCAGACACACCAGTCTCAGATGAGAGAGTGAATTCAGAGCCATGGCTGCAGTATGGGGCTTGTCCAGGATAGCACAGTCTGAGAAAGACACTCCTGACCTCTGCAAGCCTGAGTGGGAGATGTGGCCAGCTTTGCTCTAGGAGAGTGAGTTCAAAGTTATCACTACATATATTGTTTCAGAACAGGTGTTTATCTGCCCTGGTAGAAGGAAATACTCATTCGGAGGTCTCTCTACACCCTTGAATTTGGGCAAATAGGTGGTGCAGTGGATAGAATATTGGGCCTGGTGTCAGGAAGACTCCTCTTCCTGAGTTCAAATGTGGCCTCAGACATTTTACTAGCTGTGTGACTCTGGGCAAGTCACTTCACCCTGTTTATCTCAGTTTCCTCATCGGTAAAATGAGCAGGAGAAGGAAATGGCAAACCATTCCTGTATGTTTGCCAAGAAAAGCCCAAATGGGGTCATGAAGAGTCTGAAACAACTGAACACACCCCCTTGAATTTTTTTTAAAAAAAAGTAGGTCCCAGGCACATATGTAACAAGGATCATGGGGGTGAGAGACGGGAAATGTCTGATTTGCTAGATGCATATCCCAAAGCACTGTGTCCCTTAGCACACACCTCTTCCTTATTCTGATGCTTTATCACTGCCCAAGTGGTTTTGAGAGTCCCTGGGGCAATATACAAATCTGGAGTGGGGGAAAAAAGCTAGGTCTGAGTTTATAATCTATAAGGGGTCAATAATATATATACAGATATGTTAATACAAAATATGTACAAAGTGATTTTAATGTATTGGGAAAGGTAGGACTCTAAAGTTGGGAATAAAAGAAAATGCTGCCTCTTCTAGGAGGTAGTGCTTGTGATGAGATTCGGAAGATGGAGGGAGATTGGGTCTCCAAGACTTAGAGGTGAGTGGGAAGACCTTTAAGCATGAGCGGAAACTTTTGCAAAGGCACAAAGGTAGGTGAGAAAATGTTATGTGTAAAGACCATTAAGTAAGCCTGCCTTGACCTGAAGATAAGAGTGTTTGAGAAGGATTAATATGAAATCAGTCTGCAAAAACAGGTTGGAGTCAGACTGGGAAGGGCTTTACACTCAGACATTTGTTCTTTGTCCTAGGGATAATAGGGAGCCATTGAAGCTTCTTAAGCAGGGGAGTTACAGGTCTAGACCTATGCTTTAGGAATACCTATTGGGCAGTTCTGTGGAAGATAAATTAGAGAAAGGAGGGATTGGAAGCTAGAGGCAATTGCAAATGTCCAGGACAATGAGAAATAAGGAGGTCTTGAATATCTGCACGAAGAGAACATCACATGATGTACTACTCTTAAGGTATATTTCAGCATTAAGAGTCTAAGTTTCTCTGGTTCAGGGACAAAACCACTAACCCAGATCCACCTTTAGGGCAGGGGTCCTTAACCTGGATTCTGTGATCTTGTTTTGTTTCGATATTTTGAAAACCGTCTTTCAGTAATATTTCCTTTGTAATATCATATATTTTATTTTACACATTTAAAAATATTATTCTAAGAAAAGATCCATAAGCTTCACCAAATGACCAGAAGGATTCATGACACACAGAAAAAAGGTTAAAAACTCCTCATCAAGGACAATAATAGCAAATAGTGACATTGAGTGACATCCAAAGTCATTGTTGAGTGTTTTCCATCCTACCTTACC